CCACCCCTCCCCCTCATTATGGATCAGCATCCACTAATCAGAGAAAACATTCAGCCTTTGGTTTTTTGGGTTTGGCTTATTTTACTTAGCATACTCTCCAGTTCCATCCATTTACCTGTAAATGCCATAATTTCATTCTTCTTTAAGGATGAGTAATATTCCATTGTGTACATATATAATTTCTTTATCCATTCATCTGTTGAAGGGCATTCTAAGTTGGTTCCATAGTTTAGCTACTGTGAATTGAGCTGCTATAAACATTGATGTGGCTGTGTCACTGTAGTACACTGATTCAAATGTTACTTTTTAAATACAACTGAAAAGTGAACTCTGACTTTTATTATGTATCAAAAATTATTTTCAGCCAGGTGCAGTGGCTCCCCAGTTCCTAGGGAGGCTGAGGCTGGAGGATCACTTGAGCCCAGGAGTTCAAGACCAGCCTAAGGCACAAAGTAAGACCCCCATCTCAGATAATAATAATAACAATAATAATTTTTATTGGTGTTTGTTGTGTGTGGTCCTGGGGATTGAACCCAAGCAAGTACTCTATCACTGGGCTACACTTCAGCCTCTAATTCTTAATCCTGCAACACAAAAACCACCTTAACTTTAAAATGGTTCTAAGAAGAAAGGCAACTGCTCTTGTTTTAGTAAGAATGAAGTCAGAAGTAAGTACTTTCTGCCCCTTGGGTCAAAACCTGTTTGCTTATCCTATTGCCTGTGCCTGTTTTCACCCACAAGGGCAGAGCTGAGTAGTTAAAATAGAGATCACATTTCACAAAACCTAAAATAGTTATAATTTGAGTTTGTACAGAAAAAAAAATCCAATGAACCGTTTTAAGCAATCACAAAAAAAGACACGTTGAAATATTGCAGGGGGGGAACAAAGGATGTACACTATAACTGTAGCCATTAAGAATGACATGACAGGAGGATGGATCTACAGAAGAATGCTCCTTATGTGTTGTTAAACTACTACTACTATACTATCTTTATCTGTTGTAAGACAAAATAGCACCAGAGTTCTTGACGACATCATATAAATCAAAGCAAAATGGGGCAACAATTTCAAGAATCTCAAGAAAACAAAAGGTGAACCAAGGATCCAGTCTACTTGTCCTTCAAGTCTCAAGGTAACAGAAAGTTTTAAACATAAAAGAAGTTAAATAGTTGAGTTTTTCTTGAGCAATCTATTAGAGATTGAGCTTCAACAAATCAAGACCTTACTGGGAAAACTTCAGCAAAAGGACTAATAATGAGCAGTTTATGCATTTAACTGCAGTGTAAAACTAAAATAAAGGCGGGAAAGAGAATGGAAGAATATATAAATGCTCTGATAAGGGAGAAATAACTTAAATGAGAGAGGGGGGGGAGGGAGAAAGAGAAAGGGAGGGGAGGAAGGGAAGGAGGGAGGGAGAAGGAAAGTAGAAAAAGTTAAAAGACCTAATAGGTGGAAATCAAAAGAAACCATTAACTAACAAGTGGCAGTAAATGCCTGTAATCCTAGTTATTAAACACTGGCTCAAAATAAAAAGGGCTAGGGATGTAGCTCTGTGGTAGAGCGCCCTGGGTTCAATCCCATTACCACACATGACAGACCACCATTTATCATGGCACTATTTCAAAATTGACAATTCTGGTAAGTTCCCCAGATGAAATTAGACATTTTAAAGTTAGGATGCCACACTTTATTAAAGTGGCTTTTCTCTATAGTTCACATCATGTTAGACAGCCATAATGCTTCAGAAAATACATCGTCTATCAGAAGTATTACTCTTAAAATACTAGTTAACAAGTGCTTTAAATTGAATTTAGACGTTCTTCCAAATTGACATTTTAAATATTCTCCTTGCAAAGGAATTCAGGCCTAAAATTACAATATAAAAGATCCAAATCTCAAATAAAAAGTTTTTATTTATAGAACAGATTAAAATTAGAATATAATGTTAGATTCATTCTGAGTGACAGAAACTGAAAATTCTTTCAATTAAAGAATCAGAAGTGACAGTGACTTTGAAATCTATCTAATTGTCAATCTTGTAAATGTCAATATGACCTCAACCTAAACTTTGTTGCTGAATACATGTTAACAATCTCAGCAACATTCTCCAGCAAAGCATAATACAGAGACTAAAGTATACAGATTCTGTATACTGTATACAGAATACATTAATACAGTAAAGTATTCTGTATACAGTACACAGAATTTTCCCTATTTTATAAATATTCTTCTCTGCTTCCCAAGTGAAGAATAATCTCCATTCTCTCTCCCTAGTTCCTTTTTTTATTTTTATTTTTTCTGGTTTCCCTTGATAACTGCCAGCTATGTTTCTCGATAGCTCTTTAGTTAGTAAGAAAATACCCCTTCACGACAAATTTTCTGGGTCGTTCTGGAGTACAGGAATATTACTCCTCTGGTACCTTCTTAGGTACATAGTTCATAACAGCATGATGAACTCTTTCCCTAACTCAGTACTCCCAAACAGAGAGATGCTAATCTAAAAGTGTGCTTCTAATCCCGTACTGATCAGCTTGTTTTTATGGAACAATCATATCAAAGAAAGCAACTTCAGTATACAATATAGATCCACTGTATTCTACAGTTTTCAAGGTGATTACATAAAAATAGAATGCCAATTAGTTTATACCAGTTAAAAATAATGATACATCAGTCATCTGTATCTAGTAACACAGATGTCAAAATGCAAAATAAGTTAGGCAAGGTGCTGCATGCCTATAATCCCATCTACGCAGGTGGCTGAGGTAGGAGGAGTGCAGGTTTGCTCCAGCCTGAACAACTTGGCAAAACTTTGTCTCAAAATAAAAAATAAAAAAGGGCTAAGGATGTAGTTCAGTGGTAGAGTGCCCCTGGGTTCAATGTCCAGAATCAGAAAAACAAGAAAAAGGAAAAGAAAATGCAAAATAATATTTAAAGAATAGACATTTACAGTGTCACTACTATTATACAAATACATACAGAAGTATCCAAAACAAGCCAAGTAGCTAGGCAGAGTAGCACAGGCCCGTAATCCCAGTGGTCTAGAAAGATGAGGTAATAGCAACTTAATGAGACCCTGTCTAAAAATAAAAAATAAAAAGGGCTGGGAATCTAGCTTAATGGTAGAGTGCCTCAATCTCCAGTACTACATAAGAGAAAGAAGAAAAGAGGAATTATAATAAAAATACCAGAGCAATTTAATTTATTTAAAAATAGAATATCATGCCAAGTCATGAGGAAGTTCACAATACAATATTAAATATGCTGAATCAAAACTTGATTCTAACACTTCATAATTTTGATATTTACAAGCTACAACAGTTCATTAACCTTCTGATAACCACACTAACATAGAATCCAAATACATTAATAAACTTCTAAGATGGTAATACTGGTAAACAAAGATAACTTTTAAAAATCTTTAAAGTCAACCTTCAAATCTGGGATATCCAACAGCCAAATGAACTGCAAAATGTATATTAAAATTATTACAGGGCTGGGGATGTGGCTCAAGCGGTAAGGCGCTCGCCTGGCATGCTTGGGGCCTGGGTTCAATCCTCAGCACCACATACAAAGATGTTGTGTCTGCCAAAAACTAAAAAATAAATATTAAAATTCTCTCTCTCCCCACCCCTTTAAAAAAATTATTACATTATATCCCCACTTTTAAAAGGGCTATAAAACCAAATTATAATGAAGTATTAATGAATATGTATCTCTTACTATCAGAGGAGTAAACAATGCTCACATTTTGCTCTAAAAATATATAGTTCACATATGAATTTAAAAAATAAGCCACTTGCAGAAGCCATGTAGATACACTGGATAGATCTCCCTTCAAGAAATTCTTTGCTCTTCTGCTACAGTCACAGAATAACCAACAATAGCGGCTTTCAGATCCATTACAAACCCAAGGAGATGTTCTTCCCAAATATTCTCCAGCCAATGACTGACTAATGAGGGTACAAAAATCTGGCTATTTCTGCTCAACGTAGGACTCCTCTAAAGGGCAATCTTTGCTTAGAACTGCCCACTGAATTGGCTGTCAGACCTGTATTGTAATATGCAAGTGTCCTTGTCCAATTCAGCTTCCTTTCTTCTTTCAAAGATGTCAAATCTGCATTGTGGTCTAGAGACTTTCTCTGCCTAATTTTGCTTCATCTCTCTTTAACTTTATACTTTATCCCACAATACAACTCATTTATTCCTACTTCCATTTTAGTATGATGACTGCCAAGATAAAGACTTGTACTGACACCATTTCTCTTACATACATAAAAGCACTTTCCCTACTATTTTACTAACATTTTTCTCATTTTTCATACATACAACCACATCATTGAGTCAACCAAGGTAAGGAAGTTTTATTGGCTAATCAATGGCATCTCTAAATTTACTCTAAATTTGTGAAGTTTAAATATAAAGTATATATTAATATTTCAACATTATTTTTAACCTAAGTTTCCACATCTATTTATTTGTACCACATATTTCCAATATCAGTAACTATACCTGTTAAAGATATACACAAACTACTCATTCAAAACCAAGTCTCTAAGTCTCCAAGAAATCTCTCAATGAGGTTCATGAAAATTTCACCCAAAGTACTTTTATTACTATGATCCTAATGAAAGTTCTTTTGAGTAAAACCAAGATGAAGTAACAAAGAATACTGTACCATACTACATATCATCAAATGTTGCTTTCCTGGCAAATCAATTTATATATACCTAATATAGGATTTTTTTCTTCTTAAAAAATTCATAAGTAGGGTTGTCACATTTTAAATAAAATCAAACATTTTCATATGGATTATTGTTACTATCAATGTTTATCAAAACCATAAAATTAACCATCAAAATATGTTTGGACATAGGACCTAAAAAAATACACCTTTTAAAATTTCAAATAAAATAAATGAATAAAAATAGAAAATAATGTCAGTGAATTATAACAAGACCCATTTTTCTACTACATGAGGGACACTATATATTGTACTTACTTCTGTATAACATTTTGCAAGCTTAACATCATACCCAATTCTCCTTTCATCTTTTCTCTGTTGGCACGACATTCCGCCAAGTATCGAAGAGCCTAAAGCAGCAACAGGAATAGGTTATTCACATGTCCAGGATGTTTAAAATTAAAATCTCTATACTAATTGCAAGAAAAAAGAGAAAATAAGATTTCAATTTTTAGAATCAATTGGTTTTGGAGTGTTTCGAAATCTTAAATGTATGATACAGTCTCTGAAATGATCCTCTGATCTGTAGAGGCTAAATCTGTTCTTTGGAATAAAACTTCCTAGCTTATCTGCAAGGTCAAAATCAAGTTGTTCTGGTTTTACTTCATCTTGACAAGGACACAAGAAAATATATTCTACTTATCAGCCTCAAGTAGTAGTCCCAATAGCCATTAACTTTCTAGATGCTTTTTACATAGAAATTAAAACAAATTGCTGAGGGGGACAAAACATACAACCATCTTTATATGAACGGATTCTAGTTTTATAACAATTCACATTTAAAGTGAAAAACAGAACATGAACTAAAGCTCACAAATTTTCTATTTTGTGAGTTCAATTAATTTTTCAAGGGTGTTTTTATTCTTAATATTTAAAGTACATTTTTACAAAAGTACTTCCTTCACATACTGCTTCTTTAAGCATCTCATTTAGGCTCTCTCCTTTATATATAAATATCGCTGTCATCTATAGGCTTTCTAATCACTCATCATTCACTGAAGACTCTGGTACCTAATTCTCATGGGAGTATCTTTATGACTATGCTATCCAAAATTCTGCCATCTCTGCTCATTGACCTTTCACATTTACAATGGTCCTTTGCTTTCCATTTCCAAAGGGTTTGGTCTATAACAAAAAATGTACCACCATCTATGAAATTAAAAACTTAACAACCTCTTTCCCTTCTGTAAAAACTCCTACTGTGACTTCAAACTCATCCCCAAAAAGTTTGATTGCAATGGGAACTGCCCTCTCTCCATTAAAAAAACAGGACCATTGTGTTCAGACACTGTTCAAGTCTGTAATCCCTAATAAAAGAGAAATAATGAGGTAGGTCCTACAATTGCTCCATTTTCCTGCTTTGGTGATAGTTTCTAGACTATAAAGAGGGGAAATCCAAATGGAGCCTAGTGGTCTTTCTAAGTTTGGAAGACAGAGATCCAACTTGAAGAGGTTGGAATAGCTAGAATTTCCAGAGCAGAATAACAGGTAGGAAGGATAAGGATCTGTACTCCAAGAAGAGTTATAGATATCTACAGGGGTGCCCAAGAATCTTCAATTTGATACTGATCTGCAAGTGCTTGGGATAAAAGGACACTTGGCCACCAGGAAGTAAGGAAAACAATTCTTGATCACAACTGGCTGGGAACAGTCTGGAATATTACTTATCTATGAAGTACAGAGACTTCACCATAGTCTGAGACATCAAGGAGAACCCTCAGAAGAGCTTCACCTAAGCAATGCAGTTACCACAGAATAAAGCTTACTTTACTCTAACAAAGCTCAAGGCAAATATTAAAAGAATCAAATAGTCCCAAGTAATTAAATGGCAACCCAGGACAATGTTAGAGAATATTTATAGGAATATCAAGAGAATCCAAAAATCCCAAACCATAAAATTTTTAATATCTAGCATTTGATTAGAAATTACCAGGCATGAAAAAATGGAGGAAAATATGACTCATAACCAGAGAGGAGAGAAAAAAAGGAATCAACAGAAACAAAACAAGATATAATAGAAATGCTGTGATTAGGAGATAAAGACATCAGAATAGTTGTTATCAATATGCTCTATATGTTCAAGGATGAGTAGAAAAACATGAACATGGTTAGGAGAGAGATAGAAGATATCAAGAGGATTCACATGAAACTTCTATAAGACAAAAACATTAAATATGAAAAGAATTTATGGGAAAGAAAAAAAATCAGTGAACTTTAAAATGTGGTAATAAAAGTACTCAAAATGAAGCACAGAGAGAAAGAAAGAAAAAAAAATACACATACATCCATACATATACATACATAATCATACATACTGTTGGAGTTTAAACATGTGTAAAGTCAAACGTGTAACAAAACCAGCATGAAGGATGGAAGAAAGACATGGAAATATATTGTCTTGTGATTCTACACTATACATAAAACGTGCTTTATTTAAAGGTAGACTGAGTCAGGCAAGGCAGCACACAGACTAGGGATGCTGAGGCAGAAGAATTGCAAGTTTGAGGTCAGTCTGGGCAACTCAGCAGATCCTGAGTCAAAACATGAAGGAGGACTGGGGACATAGCTCATTGGTAAAGGGAACCTGGGTTCAATCCTCAATACAACAAATATAAAATAAATAAAAACACATACTGTAAAACCTACAGTAACCTTTAAATAAACTAAAATAAAAACAAAAGGGTATAACAAAAATAAGCTGACTACTAGAATAAGAGAATTATGAAAACACCCCATCTATCTGTCAATGTAATTGGGAACTCTTGCCTACCAATCCCTGTTCTTTCTCCTTAGCTCTATCCCTGTACGACTTTACTTTCTAGCACCCAGTCTATCATTTCAACCACTCTGGTGCCAAGATTCTAAATTTCCTTGTATAGTCGTTTTGCTCAACTTACCCAGCCAAATCATGGACCAACTATTTGGTTCTTACTGCCTTTACCAGACCTGAAGCCATATAGAAAGAAGTTTTATAACCAAATCTTAAGCTTTATATCAATCCAATGCTACCAAACTAATCAGTACCAACACTGCTGAGCAATCTTACCATTGCTCTTTAGCAACCTTTCAAATTTTCTATAATTAGGAAATCCTTCTTCTCAAAATTTTCCTGCTCTAGCAGCCCCTGGCTTCTGAATTTAGATATATTCAAGGCTAGTCTAGTAAAACAAAGCAAAACAGTTGGACACAGTAGTGCACCCCTGCAATTCCACCAATTTGGAAGAATGATTGGAGAACTATAAATAAGTTCAAGGCCAGCCTGGGCAACTTGGTGAGACTAAGTCTCAAAATTAAAAATTAAAACAAACAAACAAAAAACTTCCTTCCTTCAGTCCCAAGTCCCTATCTAGAGACCACCACCCTCTCTCTTCTCATTCTTATTGTATTTCTTACTAAAATTGGACTCAAACTAGGAGCCATGGAATTTTTCTTATTTGTAACTACTGTTGATTTCTTATATTAATGTCAGTTTTGCCCATAAAATTTCATTCTGTGAAGGCAAATAGGAAACTCATATTATACAGTTTGATTTTCTAAAAGGAAAAGCATATTTTCTGGTACAATCTTGTGAAATTATATTAAATATGAACTTTACAATGGATCTTTAAGTAAAGAATGGTAAGCAAAATTTTTATTAATTTGCTTTTAAACATTTATGATAAACATTTTAGAGAACACAAAAGCAGAGAAAAGATAGGGTGGGAAAACCATGTCCAGATTCAACAATTATCAACCATTTGACAATCTTATTTCATTTGTCTTCCCTGCTCATAATCATAATGGTGTATTTTATAACAAAAGGATAACACATCATCTCATTTGTAAAGATTTCAGTAGATCACTAAGAAATTTTTTTCAAAATTAACTTAATAATTTTAATGCCCTGCTGAGGTAATAATTTTTAACATCATGTGCTATTTGATCCCTATTCATTTCCAGCTATTTAAAACTTGTTTATGGTTGACTTTTTCAAAGTAGGATCCAAATCACATCCACATATTACACTTGGTTAACAAGCCTCTTTCGTGTTGTTTAATCTATAATTGTTACTAACATCCCTCTAGTGGCCTTTCTAATGCCAGTTACTGTTCAAGGAACTAGATGATCTGCCTTCAAGAAATTATCACATTCTGGGTATATACACACAATGGAATATTACTCAGCATAGCATTTGCAAGTAAAAGGATGGAGTTGGAGAATATCATGCTAAGCGAAATAAGCCAATCCCCAAACACCAAAGGCCAAATGTTCATTCTGATAACTGGATGCTGATCCATAATGGGAGGGCATGGAAAAATGAAGAAACTTTGATGGGGCAAAGGGAGGGGAGGGGAGGGGAGAGAGTATATGGGGGCAGGAAAGATGGTGGAATGCGATGGACATTATTACCCTAGGTATATGTATGACTGCACATATGGTGCGATGCTACATCATGTACAGAGAAATGAAAAGTTGTTTCGCAGTTGTGCACAATGAATCAAAATGCATTCTGCTGTCATATATATCTAATTAAAACAAATAGATAAATTTATTAAAAAAATAAATGATTACCATCAGATTTGTCTGACTGCATTGTCTTTTAAATGTTTTTCTAACCCCCATATTTTTCTTAAAATATGATGTTTTTTGCATTGTTGACTATGATCCTACATAATTTTCTCTTTTCTTTACCTTTCCTTCTCATATCAAAATAACAAGTGCCATGTCCATCAACTTATGAATGGATAAACAAAATATGACAAATTCATACAATGGACAAAGAGAAAGTAGATTAGAGGTTTCCAAGGGATAACTCACCTCTCTGAGGTGAAAAAACACTTTAAAACTGACTGTGGTAATGGCTGCACAACTAGGTGAACATGCTAAAAGTCACTGAATTATAGACTTTAAAAATGCAAACTGTATGATGGAATATGATTTATAGTCTATAAAGACATAAAATAAAAACAAAAGAGTAAATTCTTTCTTGGGCTTGTGGGTGATCTTGGTAAAGTATGTGATTAGCATGCCTAAGGCCCTGAATTCAATCCGTAGCACACTCCCCTCCTCAAAAAGTGATATTTTATTTTGAGCATCTACTTACAATAATATGATACAATTCTCAAGATTTCTTATTAACTAAATAAATTGCAAATACAGCTTAGTGGTACAGCACTTGCTTAGTATACACTGGGTTTGATACCCAACACTGCAAATAAGGAAACTGGTAATTGGCTCAACACAGTGGCACATGCCTAGAGTCTCAAATATTCTGGAGACAGAGGCAGGGGGGAAATCACTTGAACTCAGGAATTCCAGCCAGCCTCTGCTGAGAGCCATTGCCAAGTAGGAATGACGCATCGAAACTTCCTTGCTAGCGTACCCCATGTTGCTTAGAGGAAGGACCCCTGGAAATGGACTTGCCTTGGACATTTGCTATGACACTGCATGTATATTTGAGAAAGGTGACCCTGCTCAAGGACCAGGGTGGATCCGGGTTTAGGGTGGATCCGGGTTTAGGGAGGATCCTACTGGATTAGGGCGGATCAGGTTTTAGGGAGTATCCGGCTCCTTGAGTTTAGGGCGGTTCCAGGTTTAAGGTGTACCTTGCAGGGAATAGGGCGTATCCTGCTGATTAGAGCCTGGTGGAGGTGTGAATTTTGCAGCAGAATTTGGATTTCCCCAGAACGTGTTTGTAGAGGGCCGGTGTGAGTTCGGGAATAAAGAGTTGCTATTTGAATCCACAAAGCTGTGAGTGGCTCCTGATTCTGTGCCCAGCCAGACTGCGGCTGGGCCTCAGTAACACAGAGAGAGACCTATCTCAAAAACAAAAGAAAACAAGCCTGCTACTCTGCTACTCAGCAGGCTGAGGCAGGATGATCCCAAGTTCGAGGTCAGCCTCAAAAACACAGCTGAGTCTATCTTTAAAAAAAAAAAAAAAAGAGGGCTGGGGCTGGGTACAGTGGCACATGCCTGTAATCCTAGTGGCTTAAAAGGCTGAGGAAGGAGGATCACAGGTTCAAAGCCAGCCTCAACAATTTAGCAAGATCCTGTCTCAAAAATCAAAAAATTAAAAAGGACTGTGGATGTGGCTCAGTGGTTAAGTGCCTGGGTTCTTTCCCTGGTACCAAAAAAAAAAAAAAGGGCTGAAGACAGCTCAGTGGTTAAGCAGGGTTCAATCTCCAGTCTCATACACACACACACACACACACACACACACACACACACACACAAAGACATCTTGTTAACTGAAAAATAGGAAGTTGTAGAACATTTCACATATGTAGTGCTGCCACTCGTGTTAAAAAAAATAAAAAATAAAAACCAACGTACCATTTGTGGAAAAGGGACTATTATTTGTCTTAGTTTCTTTTAATTTTTTACCATGTTCATCTGATACATTTTCAAATTCTCCTTATTTCCAAAATGAATACTAATGGCAACTTACAAGCAAAGCTGAGTGGACAACAGAGGGGTTTGGGTGGTCCATAAATAAAATAAGGCCAGGCAAACATCCCTGATCTTGAACAATGGCTCTTCTATTCAGTGGATCTGCTGCCAAATCTCGTAGCTGGTTAACTACTGATAGAGCATCAGGTTCTTCATTCATGGTGGAGGAGGAAGAATTCATCTTCTATGTCATATACATGAATAAAATCTTCATAAATTCTGTAGAAAAGGTTTGCAAAATTAATTCTAGGATGCTGAGGTATATTATCAAACTTATTAAATAACCAGGATAACAACATCTTTATAAAGAAACAGATGAATCTAAATCGCAAAAACATTAAATTAGCAATTCCAGTTTGAGAAAAATAAAATGAATATAAGGTGCAAAACGAAAGCATGTTAGTCACATGTACACAATATTTAAAGAACATATGTCACCCTCCATAGTCTAATAAATTCCTTTTTAGTAATACATACTTTAACTCTAAAGTTACAATAGACAATATACTTCAAGCTTGTAACCTTTGCTATACTTTCTTAAACTGTAACACTGCCAGTGCTTTTTTCCCCTTAGAGCATTTCTGAGCCTGAAACAAGTGCCTCAAGGAAAAGTGACCAGCGGATAGCTTTTATTTTTGTCCCCCCCCCCCATCTAAAACAAAAACCCTTCAGGTCTACAAAAGACAAGCTCCTCTGGGGAAAAAGAAAGGCTCAAAGAAGGCTGTAAATCAAGAAGCCCCAAAACCATCTTGCCTGTGCCCCAAGCCAGCAGAAATACTTGTCTTTAAAGGTTAGGGGAAAAACTTCAAAATAACTTTTAAATAACCTGACATGCTTATCTGAACAACATTATAGCAGCCAACGAACCATAAAACAAAAACTTTCCCTACCTTCTTCTACAATGAGTATTAGGCTCAAGAGCAAGTAAGTTTGTTTTCTATAGTTTTTTTTTTTAATCAAAAACACTAATGCCAAGAAGTGTGGACCTGAATGGCTTACATCAAAATATACTGAGATTATTGTTAATATGCAAATTCCTAGGCCCTACCCCAGACGTAAGTAGGAATCTATGGAGGTAGAACACAAAACACTTTTTTTTTTTGGTCTTCTTTTTATGTTTTTATTGGTGCATGTTAATTATACAAAATGGTGGGTTTCCTTGTGGCATATATAAAAATATAATTTGATCCATTTCACTTCCCAATCCAAGATTTATTTTAATAAACACACCAGTTGATTTCTGGCACAAACTTTACATTGGTCTATAAATGAATTTTTTTAAATGACGGCTATGAACATCTGAATAAAACCCTGACCATTAAAATCCTACAAGAGCCTTTCTTTAATTATTGATCAATATAAGATTATCAATAAGATTATTTGAGACTAGATATCAATTTTATCAGATAACTAAATGAATAAACTGGAAAAAAAAACAAGCAGAAGTAAATTTACCCCTTTCTTCCAAAGAAACTAATTGAAAGTTCTTAATACATCAAACACAATTTGAAGTGGGAGAGGGCAGATTATGGTGAGGAGCTAGACTGTGCACAGATTGTATGTGGATAAACAGAAGGTTCTTGAAATTTTAATTGTCAGAAGTAGTATTTAACATTTCTTATGTCTTAGTTTGCTTTTTACTTTTTAAAACCAGCACCTGATGTCTTACAGGATAGTTCTGAATCACAGTTTAAATATTCATGTCTATTTTAAGAGTTTTGGCTGCCAAGCTAAAATTGAGAATTCAGACATATTTTTAAAAATCATAGACTCATTACGAAATGATAAAAGTGTGAAAAAACTTTTTCCTTGTCTTTTTTACATTCCAGTTTTATCCACAAGAGACTATACTGTATTTCCTTTCTTTCTTTTTTTTCTTAGTTCAATTTGGACGAACCATTAGGGGACAATGAATGTTACCTAAACTTAAAATAGCACTCTGATCACCTAAGGGATCCTGTTTAAAAGCAAATTCCGATTCAGTAGGTGGAGCAGGACCTGAGATTCAGCATTTCCAGCATGCTTCCAGATGAGGCTCGGGCTACTTGTCAGGAGCCACACTTCCAGAAGCAAGGAGCAGGATACAATGTGAAACACCTGTAAACCAGCAGTGGCCTGCAATATTTTCTTTCCTTTCAGCCAAGATTCACTATTCAACTCAGAGAAATACTTCTCTCTCACATGCTGCAGAGGACACACAAACTAATTCCTTATTGAATTGAGCGGGATTAAGAAAATATATAACAAGCATTAAGATCAGATCTGGCTTTCTCCTTTCTAGCAAGGAGTTACCTTATTTGAGTTTCAACTTCCTCATATAACAATCTTGAATGGTACCAGGATCTAAGAAAATAAGAATGGCGATATGGTAAAATAGAATGCTAGCAATCACCAAACACGCACAACATTTGGTGCGGTGGCCCGTGAGCGTCGGGATAGATCACGAAAGGAGTTGCCAAGAGCACAAACAACCCCAAAGAACAGTTTTTAAAAATACACAGATGTGAATACTGGTCTCTCTTTAATTAGGTCAAACCCAAGCATGTCCTTCCGCTCTTTGGAGACATGCGGGTGCACAAACTCAGAGAAAAGTCACCTAAGAACAAATTGAAGAGATAAAGACGCGAGAAGACACCCATTACTAACAATGCTAGGATTGGTAAAAGTTGGATGTAGGGAGGACGGAAAGAAAGCTAATATCTTCATAAAGTACACGCGAGCACGGCATTTCAAGGCGCCTTCTTGGGACAACTACTGAATCCTGACTGGAAAGCAGGCTGACGCGCCCGCCAGGGTCGATTCCCCGCCTAAGGGCAGGGGCCGCTTTTCGCGGCCTTCCCACTCCAGGGCTTTGTCTGCCGCCCCTGGACCCTACATACCGCTCCAGAGCTTTAGGAAACCACAGCCTGCCGCACCATCAGGATCACAGCTACAGATGAGGTAGAGGTATCCAGGCAGAGCTGAGCGAAACTCTCGGTTCGCTGCCGAGACTTCAGTAATCGCAGTCAACCGGAACAACTCCAGGTGCCCAAGAGCGAAGGCGCTAGCGGGGAAGGCTCTGCAGACTCTCCCTCAGTGACCCTGTCACCTCCGCCGGCTCTGCCCTTCTATTGGCTGGTAATGAGTTCAACGCGAGGAAAAGTATCCAATCAGCGAAGGCCGTCTTACAGCTAATCGTTCATTGGCATATTAGGGAAATGCACTAAGTATTCAATAGACAGGTCCAATGAGGACACAGAACACTGAATTGGACCTAACGATTCTCCGTCCATTGAGCACTAACCCAAGAAATTTGATTCGGTCGAAAAGCCTTCTTACTATACCGACTACAACTCCCAGCGTTCCGGTGGTGGAAAGGCTTCTTTGCTTCTGTGGTCCGGGCCTCATTTTTTGGTATTTTATTTAGAGACAGGGTTTCGCTGTGTTGCTTAGCACCTCGCTGTTGCTGAGGCTGGCTTTGAACTCGGGAGCTTCCGGTCTCAGCCTCCCCAGCCACTGGGATTACAGCCTCTGCCAATGCGCCCTGCTGCTTCTGTGATTTTAATTCACAATCGTTAAATTTGTTTTTACTATGGACTTAAGCGTTCCTTGGACTCTTCGTTCATTTCATCTAGGTGTCCAGTGTTCCTGGCAAAGCCAAGGCTGCAAAGTACAGTTCTGTTTGTTTGAAATAGTGATTGCTTTTTGAAATGACTTTTTTTTTCCATTCTAAGAGACTCGTTCGAATTTTCTCTTTTGTCACGCAGTTCTTTTTTTAAAAATCATTATTTCCTTATATTTATCAAAGTAAAAGTTTATGTACTTGTTTTATTGATAGCAGTCACTAAAGATCTGGTTTTGTCAAGATATGGATTTTATTTTATTTTTTAAGTATTTCTCGAGGTAATCTAAATCCCACAGGCCTGTCATTGACAATAATGCGTCTATTGCACTCAAAAAACCACTGTGACACAGGAAAGTAGGGACCTGAAACTCCAAACCTCGGTTCTTGTGTTCTAAGGAAAGATTTAAAATCAGACATCAAGTCATACAAGAAAACTTTATTAGAAGTGAATGTGAGGCTTAGCAAGAAGCACTCTCAAGGGGGAAAGTGGGTCATCTCCAAGTAGAGGACTACAAATAAGACATTGTTGGCCCCAATTTCATTTATTACTCTTTGCTGTTTACCAAGAGAATTTGGGACCACCTTTTCTACTCTCTGCTAACCAAGTGTTCAACTCCTCCTTCATGTTGCAGTGCAGTTTTTGACCTTAGGTATTCCTCTTTGAAACTGTCATGGGGTCATCCTATTTGGGGAGGGGGGGGTTTGTAGGCTTCATCTACAAGTCAAACCCAAGTTAATGGGGGCACTGGGATCAGGTGCTGGTCAGGCCATTACCTTAGTGTAACTGCACTACTAAAGGAAACTTCCTTCCCAGACAATTGGAGACACTTCTGGCCATAATTCCTAGCTTTACATCAACATCAATGGACCCTGACAAGAGTTAGTCCAATTAATCCTTTCCTTGACACAATTTTCAACTAGTTCCCTTGCTTCTGTTTATTTTCTACAAATTAACTACCACCCTTTGCTTTCTTGTCTATTTTGGAAGTAATTTAAAGTAGGACCCTAAGATAATTTAAAGTATACTAGAGACCTTGCCTGTATTTCACTGCTTGTTGCTAGCTACTACCTAACAACAGGATATTGGATTCCCTCTTTTACAATTGATTCTGCTATGTAGCTCATATTTGAGAGGCCTCTTACGGGCTAATAATATCTTCTGTACTTTGTAAGGAAATTTAAAAACCAAATGGTTACTTGTGCCATGTGTTCCTTGTTTTTGATTATCCTCTTGTAATAAACGAAAGAAGAAAATAGGAGCAAAATAAAGCCATACTATTCTTTTTTCACAACATTTGACCTATAGCAAAAACAAGCCTGGCCAGCCATGGTAGCGCTCTCCTGTAATCCCAGCCACTCTGGACGCTGAGGCAGGAGGATGGCAGTTCAAAGGCAGTCTCAGCAACTTAGTGAGACTCTGTCTCAAAAACTAAAAAAAAAAATCTGGGAATGTGATAAGCTGTTAAGCATCTCTGGATCACTGCCTACATGAAGGGGCGGTGGGGTAGGTGTCTGGCTTGGTTTCTTTTCCCCAAAGCCACAAGGGAGTTGGAGTGGTGGTGGGGAAGCACTGAGTCTAAATTATAAAGAAAAAAAGAGATGATGCAGAATGTCCAATGGTAGGAGTACTGGTTGTAACAATCAAATGCTGGAATTTATAAAAAAGAAATGGGGTGGGGTGTAAGTGCAGAAAATTGCAAAAAAAAAAAAAAAAGCAGCAGCAAATAATACTAAGTCCAAAGAGCATAGCCAGGTTAAACATAACCCATCTGGTTGAGTAAATGAAGTTTTGTACAGTATTGTTATAAAAATAACTCAATAATCTAGGAAATTAAACTTGCTATTTATAATAAGGTTAATTTTTGTATTAGGAAGGGAAAAGCCATATAGCATTTTCCCAACTATAATTAATGGCAGGAATTTTTTGACACTGTCCAGAATATATGTTCTACAGTCTTTGTCATTTGGTAGTTCCTACAGTCTAAAATATAATCATTCTTCTGCCATTAAGACCAATTCTTCCTGCAAACTGTCATGACAAAGAAATGATGACTAGCATTAAAAAGCACAAGATGCATCCACAAAAAGATAATTACCACTTTCCTAAGCACCTATGGATTACAAGCCTCAGGGAAATCTTTCAAGGTTTTAAGAACTCACATCCCATACTAAAAGTGTCTGAACTTGACACCAAGGAAGTTATATTACTTACCATTATAAATCTCACTTTTTCTTCACCTTGGGTATCTTACCACAGGACACAGCTGGAATGTCAAGTTTCCTAATAGCTGTGTTGCTTAAAATATATGATTCAGATAGTGGCTATTTTATTCACTCAATCATTTGACAGTCATTTTTTGAACATGTATATTGTGTTAGAAATAGTCTTAGCTATGGATTTAAAGATATGGAAGAACATAATCCTTGCCCTCTAAAAAGTTCAGAGTCTAAGGAGCCCAGGGAGTAATGTTTTCTGAAACTTTTTGATAAACAACCCTTCTCAGTTTAAAAACAACAAAAATAACAAATTTTTGAACACACACTTCTGACGTATATTTATTCATGAATTTTATACATGAACTATCAAATGTACATTTTAAAACATGATAAAGATAAAATTTAAAATAATAAATAATTATGAATGGAATCTTTTGCTATCCATCTGTATGAAAATGAAATTGGGCCTATATATTTCATCACTTACCAAAAGATTAATTCCAGATGTATTAAAACCTCAAATCTTAGAGACTACATATATAACCTAGATATACGGAGAAACTTAAACAAGACCAGAAACTAAGAAGTTAATAAAATAAAATATTTGACTTGTTTTGAAAAGCAATTTTGGAATCCAGGGATACAGCTCAGTGATAAAGTGCTTGCCTAGCAAGCTCAAGGCCCCAGGGTTCAAACCCTAACACTACCAAAGAAAAAGCAATTTTTAGTAGGATAAAAAATATAAAGTGATATTAATACACAATAAGTTTGGGGGTAAATGTGCAACCTAGTGAGCAGACAGAGGTTAATGAATAGCAGGGAATAAGCAATTCTATAGAAACTGGGCAAAGAACATAAATAGGCATTTAATAAAGAGAAAATCCATGTGGTCAATAAACTGAAAAAAAAAAACATGTAAACTCACTTGTAATAAGAGAATGCAGATTAACATAACAATGTGAATAATCGCTTAAACCTCATCAGGCTGGCAAAAATCAAAATGATACAATGTTACTGGTAGAAAATTCTTCATATATTTCTACAAAATGTAAATTATTCCAGCACTTTAGAGAACAACAAAACAAAACCTATTCTTATAAATAACCTTTTAACCCAATAATTGTGACCACAAGAATCTAAAGCAGTGTGGTGGAGTACACCTGTAATCCCAGCAATTTGGGAGACTGAGGTAGGGGGATTCCAAGTGCACGGCCAGCCTGGGCAACTTAGTGAGATCTGTCTCAAAATAAAATATAAAAAGGGCTGGGGATATGTTTCAGGGGTTCAGCACCTCTGGGTTTCAATCTCTAGTACCAAAACAAAAACAAAAAACAAAACAAAACTATGAGTTAGGTTATAAGGCAGAAGAGTGTTTAACAGTTCCATTGCAAGTCTCTTCCCCCTCCTCCTCCTTTTTTTTTTTG